TAGGCCGATCACCTGTACCTCCTAAATTAACATATCAGGAAACCTCAAAGCGGAAAAACTGGATTCATCTCTGGGAAATGACTTGGCCGTCAACAGGATCTTAGTTTTGGATATTAGAATGTTTTAAGCATGTATAGACCTGGAGCACTGCAGATGATCTTAAATGTCATTGACAAACATAAGTTGGACATAACAATCATCCAGGAAATACGTTGGACCAGACATGGAATCATCGAAAAGAAGAGGCATACTATGTATTATAGCTGCCATAGTAAGCACCATATCTTCGGTACCGGGTTTATTGTTCGTAAGAATGCAAGGTCGTTAATTACAGATTTCAAGCCTGTAAATCCCAGAATTTGCTACTTAAGAATAAAAGGAAAATTTTTTAATTATAGCCTTTTCAGCGCTCATGCAGCCATGGAAACGTCAGATGAAATAGAAAAGGATGAGTTTTATGAGACTCTTGAAAAAACAGTAGGTACATGCCCTAGAACTGCCATGAAGATAATAATGGGTGATTTCAACTAAAAAATTGGCAATGAGATCATATTCTTCCCAACTATTGGCCAGCATAGCCTGCACAATAACACTAATGATAATGGACAAAGATTAGTCAACTTTGCTGCATCTAAAAACCTAATCATAGGTAGCACACTCTTCCCACATTAAAATATTCATAAAGGTAAGTGGAAATCCCCAGATGGGAGAACTATAAATCAAATCGATCATATCTTGATTAGTGCAAGTCATTGCTCAAATCTCATCGATGTCAGAACCTACAGAGATGTTGGCTAACATTGATTCTGATCACTTTTTAAGTAATGCCAGAATCAGAGCTAGGATAGCGAACACTAACCCAAGAATGTAAAGACAAAAAGTAAAAAAGTATGATATGAATAAACTGAAAAATCTAGATTTGCTTCAAGTGTGTGAGGAGCGAATAAATCAAAAACTAGTAACTCTATATATTTCAGGTGATCATAATATTGATCTTATATGGGACACGTTGAAAGTTTCGCTGGATTCAGCAGCTGAAGAAGTTCTAGATAAGCAGGAAAGGTCAGTCAGATCTCCCTGGTTCGATGAAGAATGTCATTTGGTGACTGCAGCGAAGAATAAGGCCTATAGAAAAATGCTTCAAAAAAGAAATACTCGAGCTGCAACTGAGGAATATTGTGAAAAAAGAAGAATTGAAAAAAGGTTACACAAGAGAAAAAAGCAATGAGCTGAAGGCTATTGAAGAACACAGGAACCTAAACAAAGTAAGGAAATTTCACCAAAAAATTAACGAAGGACGCAAACCTTATCAACCAGTAGTTTCTTCATGCAGAGATGGAAATGGTAATCTTCTGATAGAAAAGACGAGTATTCTAGATAGATGGAGAAGATATTTTGAAGACCTCCTTGCTGAAGGATTGAGAAATAACAACATTGATGAGGATGCTGTTACAACTGATTATAGTACCAATGATGATCTGGAACCACCAGATGATGAGGAAGTAGGGGAGGCTATAAGAAAGCTAAAAAAAAACAAGACCCCAAGATTTGATGGACTCCCAGGTGAACTATACAATATGGGGGTACAGAGCTAATAAAAATCTTACGCTAGCTATTCTTAAGTATCTGGGCAGAATAGAAATTACCTAAGGATTAGAACAAGTCTGTTATATGCCCTATATACAAGAAAAGTATATATTCTTTAATATTGACTAATGTCATTTTTGGCCGGATGTAGTTTTTATTATTTTTTTGGTCATATCTGTTATTCATAAGGGACCTTGTCCCAGAATAAAGTTTACTTTCTATCTAAAAAAAAAAAAAAAGGTGATAAAATTAACTGTGAAAATTACAGAGGTATTTCTCTGTTCTTCAGTGCTTACAAAGTTCTATCAAACATGGTCTTCCAGAGGCTTCTACCGTTTGCAGAGCTAGAGATCGGCAAATACCAGTGTGGATTCAGAAGAGGAAAATCGACCACTGATCAGATATTCACCCTTAGCATGCTGCTGGAGAAAACTGTGGAGTATAATGTTAAAACCCATCATCTCTTTACAGATTTTAGAGCTGTTTATGATAGCATCGATAGAGAGCAGTTATACAGGGCTTTGATTGAAGTGAACATACCTCTTAAGTTGGTCCGCCTCCTTAGGATGACCATGATAGGCATAGTGTGTCGTCCGTGTACAGAGAGACCTATTAGTCTATGGGCCAGGCCCCCCTACCCTGCACCCCCCTGCAGTCCTAACCCTCTAGCTGCTGTTTCTATTAGGACAAATGCTTCTTCCATAGCATTCATCGAACTGGCCATTATGTCGATACCATCGCCATATACAAGTAGCTGTACGGTCTTATTAAATAGCGTACCAGTAGTCTGGATGCCAGAATCCCTAATAGCTTTTTCGAATGCCAGGTTAAATAGGAGGTATGCAAGAGCATCTCCTTGTCGCAGTCCTTTCGTTGTCATGAACCTCTGTGATATTCACGGTGAGCCAGACCCCCCTATCGTGCACCCACCCACATCCCTACAAATTGCATATCGTTGTGTTCCTTGTAACAATTTATTTTTAAAAAAGCCAATGTTGCCACAAAAAAAAGTGAACGAACTGTCCCAAATGGGGAATTCGGAAAACTTTTAGGATTTCAATGGAGCCCCGCACAGAATTGGTTGTTGTTCGTGGAGGGTCTTTGACGGCCATTCACTATGTAGATGAGATTTTGGAACCTCATGTGTTGCCTATCCTCAACGAAATCGGCGATCGTTTTATTCTAGTGCACGCCCACATGTCGTCCGCGTAGTGCAGACGTTCCTTCAACAGAACAATATTGAGGTTTTAGCCTGACCAGCACGTTCTCCAGATTTGAACCCCATTACGCATTTATGGGATAACCTCGGAAGACGAATAAGAGCGTGTGCAACACTTCCTGATACACTGTAGGACCTTGAAAGGGCTCTTCGGGAGGAATGGGCTAACCTCCAGCAAAGGGACATTTCCCGACTGGTGGAAAGTATGCCGGTGGCGTCTTCAAGAAGTAGTGAAGGCAAGAGGAGGAAACACGCGCTACTAAACGATGATGTAATTAATTTCTTTTAGAATAATAATGGTTCGTTTTTCAATTTTTTTTTCTCTAATCTTTCTTACCCAATCATATTTTGATTATTAAAGGTAAAAAAGATTATAAAATTCCATTAATACTAAGTATTATCTACAAATACCATGTATTATATACAAATACAACTTTACAGAAATATTTTTAGATGAAAACATGGAAAAATCAAGTGGGTGGAATTTTTTGCCTGTCAATGTATATACATTTTTTTCTTTTTATTTTATTTTAGTTGACATTCTCTTGATTACGAAAAAAGTAATACCACACCAGGGACCATTGCATGAACTCATTCAATAACAACAATAATTCATCAAATAAAATAATAGCAGATATCAATTATCTTTTAAAAATTACATCTGGAAATGATAATGAAAACTTTTCTTTTAACCTTTCTTGACTTGGTTATTTTTTCATAGTATATATATATATATTAAATTAAAAAAAAGGTTGAGTGTTCAGGAAAAAAAATAATAATGAAATACATAAACTATTTCTTTAATGAATTTTTATTTTTATGGAAAATTAATCAATTACATAGTACATTACATACATAATTATATAACAGGAAAAAGTAAGTAAAACACAAAATAATATCTCACTTGATGAAATAAATAGAAATTTTTTTTTTATTATTTATTAAATTATTTTTTGCAGAAATATAATAATCTGTCACACGGACAGTAATTATAGTGAGATATAGAAGATAGATAGATATAGTGAGATAGTGAAAAAAAAAAATTAAAGTTTAAACATAATTATGACTTTTATTTATTATATTTAAAGGCGTAGACATCTAAAAAAGTCTTTATCAATTGACTTTCAAGAGGAAACCCATCTAGATTTTTTAATGACTAGCCATTTCCTTTCATTGCCATCCATATCTTTTATCTCATTCATAATCTTTGCATACATGTGATACTAACAGTATCCAAAATTGAAGAGATGTCGTTGACCGTAATGTTTTTGGTTTTGAAGGCCTGATCACATGTCTCTCCTTTAACCTTTTCATATGTGGCCTCCAAAATATTATTGAATTTGAGAGGGAGCCTCCGATATCAACAAAAATTCTGATATCAGTCTACGTAGGGTGTCTGTCTTATTGCTAAAAAATTCTGCTACATCAATAGTTTCATAACATGAAAGGAAAAAAGTCTTTAGATCCCTTTCAAAAGCTGTCTCAATCTCATAAAATGGTCCTATAGCCGTCTCCAACTGCCTTCGCTTCGTCATAACGAGCGGTGCTTTTCTTTTGCAACAACGTACATGTATATATACAAAAAGCGTTCCAACATGCCCCAGTTCTGAAGCAGTGCATGGACTGGACATGTGCAGTAAATCTAACAATAACTAATGCATGTATAATATCTTTATGTGATGCCTTAATGCATTTTTTTTTATTAAACTTTGCAAATTTTTCTTTGGAAGAAGTTAAATTATTATTAAAATTCAATAACTAGTTCAGACAGAATAAATAAATAAATAAATTACTATTTCTGATATTTGTTTAACCATTTATTCAGCAATATATGGCCTGGTGAATTATAATATTTATGTTTGCTTGTCCACCCTTGAAAAAGGACAGTGGTTCGGTCATGTTTGTCGAATGAGCGAGAACCAGGAACCCAGAAAGGTAATGTAAGCTCAACCTACTGGCAAGAGGCAGTATGGAAGGCCTAGAATTTTATATGAAGAGTATATCCAAAAGATTGGAGGAAAAAAAAATCGAACAAATAGGCCCCTCCACACTAGATATGGCATAAGGAGGAAGATAGAGATAGAGAGAGAGATATTTGCGAGTCAATTTGTGCCTGATTTATATCTGAATTATTTGTTGTTTTTTTTTTTGTTTTTTTTTTAATAATGTGCCTGCATTTAATTGACTTTTTCAGAGACAAATCAGCTTATCTTAGAATGATACCTTTGAAAGAACTTTTATTTTGGTCTGGAGATAATCCTGATATCATGATTGAGGAATATATTAGAAAATATATTTTAAGAGCATTAAGGGATTCATTCATTGTGAATCGTAAAATTGCTTTGAATGTAAGTTAATTTTTAAATATTAAAGTAATTTTGCTCCCTTCACTAATTATATTTATTTTTAACTTTTTTTTTCTTGTTGGTTATTGATTTTCTTTTTAGTTTGTCAGGGGTGCAGTCAATAGACACATAATATATATTGTAGCAGGGGTACCCATCTCCCATGGTCGAAATAGGTGCAAGAACCTATTTCCCCCACTCTTAAGATATTTTATTGATCACTTTTTTAAAAATCAGAGCAAGGGAAGGTATAAGTAAATCATAAATTATACATAATCACACTTGCTGCGGTCTGTTGCGTGTTTTCCCCTTGTTTCTTAGTATGGAACTCCGTCAAAATGTGCCTTCCTGAAAAATTTAAAAACCTCCCAAAATAGGCCCCCCTCAAAAATTGTGCAAGTTGCTCCATCAAGCTCCCTTCTGGGCACCCCTGTAGTGGTATTTACTTCATTTACCTATGTTTTGATCTACATTGTAGGTCTTTATCAGGGATAAAAGAACAATATACAAAAAAATGTAGTAAATCGGTAAAAGATATCAGATATCAGATACATATTTATTTTTGGAGGTGGAAAATGACAAGTAATTAATCACAATCCTTCCCTATAAGTCGCTGATTGTAATTTGTAAAAAAAAAATATCTTATATATTATTTCTGAATATATATCTCTTTTCCAGCTCTCAGGAGTCATGAATTTTGATATCACATTGGGAATATCACATAGAATGCACGAATCATAATTTTGATTCATAATTTTATACTAGGGCTTATAACAATGAATGTAAAAGTGGGAGTTTTCAAACCATGTGATGGTGGCATCTCAACCAATCGATACGTTACAAATGAACTCATAATTAGCTAATAACTTGAAAAGTACACAATTATTGGTATACTTTAAGTATTTGAAAGCTTTCTAAATTCCCAACAAAACATTAAAAAAATTATCGAAATTCGACGGTTTGATGCAAAGTTATAGCCGGAAGAGCATCCCATTTCATCACGGTAGGGCGCTCATTTTTTTAGGTTGAGTCTCAAGGGACACTAATGTGATCTGAGACTCTCTAGGTAAGGACAGTAGTTCTGGTAGGTAGGACAGAAATATAGAGAGGAATTTGGTGAGAGAGAGTACTCGGTTTGGGGACTGTGGTTCGGGAGTAGAGGGCGATTCCACCTTCAACTGCTGTATTTTTGTAGAGGCTGGATGTGGAAAGGAGTGATCTGCAGAATATGGTGGAGTCAATAATTTTGTACTCAGGAATCTTGCACCATCACATATATTGATTCTGGGAAATTCGTTGTGAGCTCTACAGACAGTCGTTAGAAGGTAGAAAATTGAGTGTAGCAATAAGAAAATAAAAAATAAAGGATAACATTCGGTACTTTGAATGATAGTCCTGCAAAACTCTATCCTTAGTCTGCTCTCATTAAACATTATCTATTAGGACTGATCATTATGCTGGGTGTTGTAGCAACTCAACATAGTTGAGCAGATGTACAGCTTTGATGTACTTTTCTCTATATTGGCGCTAATGTCCTTTAAGAAACTGGGCCTCTTCCACTGCAGCTTACCGATCTCCACAGTCTTGTGCTATTTTCCTCCACCATTGAACGCCAAGCCGCCTCAGATCGTCCTCCACATGTTCCAGCCATCTGATCCGAGGGTGTCCTCTACTTCTTTTACTATCTGGCGCCTCATAAAGGCACCCTCTTTGGCATTCTTTGGTCGGGCATTCTTTCCACATAACCTATCCATCTCATCAAGGCTCTTTTTATCAATACCACAATATCAGGTTCTCCATATAGTTCCCGTAGCTCCTCATTATTTCTTCTCCAAATTCCATTCTCAGACATTACCCCCCATATTCTTCTCAATACTTTTCTGTCCCAGGAGTTGAGCATGTGTTCTGAGTTTTTGGTTGAGGTTCAAGTCTCACACCCATACATAATCACTGCCCTTACTATGGTTTTGTAGATGAGGATTTTGATCCTTTATAAAGCAATTTAAATTTCAAGTCTTTTTGTAGTGAAAAACACCATCTATTTCCTGCTGTTATCCAGGCCTATATTTATTATCTATTTTGTTATTGTATGGGACCAGGCATCCAAGGTACTTGAACTGGTTTACAGAGCTAAAGTTGTGATCCCTTAAAGTTATTTCCATATTCACTTCCTTTTCCCTTGAACTTTTCATGTTAACCGTCTTATTTTCATTAATTTTAATAAGGCCCAGTTTACTGCTGCTTCTAGAAAGCTCCTGATAATAAAGAACAATATGGTTCAATGCTCTATTTGTTACAACACCATCGCTCGTGAAGACAAATATAATATATGTTACACGAAATGCATATTAATATTTCACGTAAAATGTTTAAAATTGATCAAAAAAGAAGTTGAGGTTCAAAAAATTTCAAAACAAGCTTGGCTATGTCCACCTTTCGAGCAATCTAAAAAGATTACGTAAAGCAGTGAAAACCCGGACCAAACTTGTACCACCGAGCCATCACTGTCAGAAATACTGGCAGCTGTTAATAGATTGAAGTTCAATGTTTAAATGTGTTTACTTATGCCTTATAATAACATAAACGTTTAAATAACCAAAAATGTTTAAATATACCTTCCATTTGCATGGATATGACACATTTAAGCTTGAATAGTAACATGTCTGATAAATGAATATTCTGCTATAATTACATGCGTATGCTCAATTACCTGAAGGGACATTACAGTATTGGTTGAGTAGTTGAATAGGTTTGTAGAGGTTTTCTTATGGTGTTGAAGGTGTATATTGATGTTTCCATCTTCCTGGCTCCTTACTGCTCCTCCGAAGCTATATAAAACTAGTTTAGTACATCATGGGTTTTATTTCACGTATAAAGAAAATGTTCGCAATTGAGTGCACTCATAGTTTCATGGCCAACGTGGATATAAGATTTTTTCTTGTCGGCTCCAAGGAGATAATTGCTACAGAGCTACTTCTTCATGCAGGAGAAGATGAATAGTGCTGGAGGTGATGAATTCGGTGTGGGTCAAACAAAACCACCCACCTTAAATTTGCCCTACAAATTTAATTAATTGACAGATAAAGACCCTTAAAAGCACAGAACAATTAATAATTGAGCATATAAAGAATATAAAAGTCATAACACGAAAAAATCATTATAACCTTAGAAATCAAAGTATATGACAAAATGAAACAAAGTAGCATCACATATCATTGTAACTATATATGAGAAAAACAAACAAAATATTCCATCTTTTGAGCGAAACAGAATAAAATGTGATACATGCAAAGAAAAAGTGATACATTCACTCACAGAAGCTTATACTTACTAGGACTGAATCAATCAAAGTAATATACCTCTTGACAAATACAACAAAAAAATCATTATAAATTGCAGCTTCCTGCTGATGGATGATTAAAATAAGTATAAATTTTTGGTTACATACAAAACAAATAATTGAATTGATATATTAAAATTAATTTTACAATACACAATGGTATACAATATGGATGTTTGTGTGTGTATTACTTGTCTAAATCCTTGCTGTAAACAATGGCGCTAATGAATTTATCGATCAGACAGAGGGAGTACGTCTATACGACGAAGTGTGTGTATCGGAAGAGGGTCGTACCTAACCCGAGGGTCTCAACCTTACCTCACCCTTCAAACAGAACAAAGAGATGCAAGCACCAACCGGTGCCCACGGAGAGGCCAAATCCTAATACAGAGCTTTTCACCGCTCCTGAGCACACTTAAACCAGATGCCTGTCCTGACTTTCACAGCTCAACACTGGTGTCGTAGAGCGAGCAGTCGCAAACACACGACCACTGCGTTTGCCAGGGCCAAGCAGTGTCAAGCACTCTTGCCATCTACCAGGACCCCGGCGACACCCCGTAGTACCAATTCAATTTGACAAAAAATTAAAAATAATTTTTGTCTGACCTCAAAGCATGATTGGTCACTTACTTCACAATCATTACAATCGCTATGGCTTGACATTGACCTCTAATGACACAGGAGGATGCCAATGCATCCTTGGTCGATGAGGGATGACAAAAAACAAAGGCTGGAGTCAACAACCGTCCCCAATTACCGATCGGACAAAGGTCTTTTCAGAAGGAGTCAACACAATAACTACTCAAGTAAGTCCATCCTTGCCAGAATTTGATCAGTCTAGCAACAGGCCAACAACCTACCATTGCCTGTTTTTCTACCACGATGACCAGGTCTCCGATTTCCAGTGATGGAGTGCTGGACTGCCACTTCCTCCTTTGTTGCAACGAGTCCAGGTACTGCAAACGTCACTTGTTCCAAAAAACGTCACTTGTTTTTTTTTTTGCTTCTCACTTACTGTAACCTCCAACCAATTTCTCAAGCCATGTATGTCTGGTTATAGCGCCTCTGCTCATCCTCTACTGGTCCTTAATACTAGTAATGTGGCTGAGTGAGAGGCACTGGGATCTTCTAGAGTCCTACCTTTCTTTCCACGAGTGGTGGAAAAGCTTGGATCGGAGATCTTGAGTGAATAAATTTTGTAAATATTGTAAAAACATGTGTGTATTTAAGTAGTTATTAGTTTAGTTCAGTTTATTTTGGTTTATATACATTTACTTTTAATATTATTAGTTTGCTATTTATTTATTGTTCATAGTGTGAATGAGTTACTCTTTTATCCCTATTACTATTGTCCTTAGATGTGATAGATTGTAATATATCTCAATAAAGAATTTTTGAAAAGTATATAACATATATTGGTACTTGTGACTTAACCTGTCGCCACGGATTGTTATCCGCCAATGTTTATAACCTGAAAACTGATAATTCTGATACTGATAATACATATCTTCACATTAATATTTATGGAAATTGAAATAGACAAAAATAAATGTCATAACAAAACAATTTTATGTTACAACATATATATACACATATACATATATATATAAAACACTTTTATTTTACATTTAATTTATTCAGGGAGACAAAATACAACTTATATAACACTTTATATACACAACATATATATGTACATACTGTATATATACAACATATATACATATAAAACACTTTTATATAACCACATTTTATTTATTTCGGGAGACAAAATAGCTTAATGCTATTTAAAATAGCTAGGAACGGATCCTCTTCTCTGTGGATCCGCCGCCACAAAGATTTCCATGAATAAGAATTCAGGTGTTGCCTCGCAGTTCCTCGATTTTTTTTATCTTCACTTAGTTGAGCCCCATAATCGTTCTATGTATTGAGTATGGACCCCACTTGAAGGATCAACATAGTTATACTGGCGATTCACCTGCAACTGATTATAGTTTGCTTCATTTAGTTGTTGGGTGTTCTATATTTTCCAACAGTCAGAATATATAATGGTTCTCTCTTCTATATTATATTTAATATATTCTAATAGAGGTCTTGCTTCTATGTATTTTTTTTTTTACTATGAAACACTCGTGTTTCTCCTTTCATGCACTTCATACAATTTCACCTTTGGAATTATCCCGAATTTTTGAAAGTATTTGACAGCTTCTCCCGATGCCGGCAATTCCCAAAGTGTTATTATATCCATTTTAAACAGAACTTAAAACAATTGAATAACGCACAAGTAATGGGAAGATAACAAGAAGTTACACGAGATAAGAAGAGAGATTCTGTAGTGACAGGCTGTATTACAAGTACCCATATATTTTTATCTAAACAACTATTTATGTATAAATTGATTTAATTGTGTAATAAATAATGTTTGTTTTTTTTTTAGATTTTTTGCAAAATTTTTGAAAATCCCTCAGTTTTCAACAGAGAAAAACAACAAAATTTGTTTAGCAAATTAATACCAGAACTAACTATATCTTTGAGAAGTAATGAAGAACTTGATTTTTTAATTTTAAAAATAATGAATCAAGCATCAAAGTAAATATTCTATAGTATAAAACCATTTATCATATTACTTATTGTTGCTATTATATACTGTTAATATTTTAATTGACATTATATTATACTGTAAGCCTGTTATGTGATAACAGGCATTGAGACTTTTAATGAGTCTAATCCTCATAATGTAGTAAGTGTCATGGCCGCAAGTGCAGTATAACTTACATGTCGCTCTGTATTTGTTACTTTGTAATGTGCTCAAAATTCAAAGTTGTTGTGTAAGACTATCTACAGTGACTTAATAGAGTTTTACACTTTTACATTGATCTACACTCAGGTGAGGTACTATTTATTAACAATAAACAAGTGATAAATTGGTGCTCATTTGGTTAGATTGAGTGGCTGTTAATTCCTTTACGTGCCTTACCATATTCCGATAGGCTCACGGCCAAGTGCTCTGTTTACTAACTTCCTTCAGTCATCAAGTCTTCAGTTCGAACCCGAGACATAATATATACTTTTTGTTTTTTCCCAGAGACTATTATTATTATTAAATGGCTTTACATCCAATTATTTGAGACTTGGCCTGCTCCAGCATGGATCTCCAGTTATCCCGGTTAGTTGCTGCAGCCTTCCAATTTCTGACACCAAGTAGTCTACATGAATCAGCAGCCACACAGTCTTGTCAGCGCAAACATGGTCTTTCCACTCGTCTGTTTCCAAACACAGGCTCATTCATAGCTCTCTGTGGGGGTGCATTCATATCCATCCGCGCGACATGTCCCGCCCAGCATAGTCTTGCCAGTACGATGAATTGGCTCACATCCAGGTCATTAAACAATGTCTTTATTTCCAAATTCTTTCTCCTCCTCCAATTCTGTGGTGTTTCTTGGACCCCTCCAAATATGCGTCGTATAATCCTCCTTTCAAATCTGAGCAGGGATTTCTCAACTGTTTTAGTTAAGGTCCAACTCTCACAGCCATATGTTAGCACTGGTCTAATAAGAGTTTTATATATTCTTATTTTGGCCTGTCTTGACAACATTCTACTGCGAAGATGTCTCTGGAGGGAGAAATACCACCGATTAGCCACTGCGATCCTCCTGTCTATCTCACAATCAATGTTATTTTGTGCATTTATCAATTAACCAAGATATACAAATTCGTCAACATTCTTGATTCCATGCTGTTCCAGCCATGCTTGGTTTTCCCTTGTTAGACGTGAGGATAGGGTGGACATATATTTTGTTTTGGACGTGTTGATAATAAGACCAATTTTGGCTGCCGACTCTTCCAGACTTGTAAAAATTTCCTGTACTGCCGCAAACGATCTTCCCATTATATCAATGTCGTCCTCATATCCAAGTATTTGAGTCATTCGATTTAGGAGGGTTCCTGTAGTCTGGATACCAGAATCCCTTATGACTTTTTCAAGGGTAAAGTTGAATACCAGACATGCCAGCGCGTCTCCCTGCCTTACACCTGTCGGTGTTCTAAACCCCTTTGACAAGTCACCTTGTACTCGTACGAAACACTCAACACACTCTCTCTCTCTCTCTCTCTCTCTCTCTCTCTCTCAATTAATTTAAAATAAAATGACTCCTCATTTAACTCAAGCAAAAAAAAATATATTCATATCAAATCAATAAAAGGTTTCTTCAGAAGGGAGAGGCACTAACTTGCTCACTGGAGAAGAAGAAGAAGAAATAAGAACATTACATCCTGCAAAATAAAAATGATTTATATAAGTATATACTATAATATATTTCCACGTATTATAAAAAAATTGTAACAAATGTTATGTTGTTCTAACAGCTTTTAAAATAGTCTCTCAGGATCGGTAAAGATTAGAAAATGTTAGAGAAATGGAGTAAATATGATTATATGGAAGGGAGAAAAAAATGTTTATAAAAATTATACTTATATATTTAATTAAAGTTTTGAATGCACCTTAGTCAATTTCATTTTTTCTTTTTGACTGATAATGTACTGTAATATACACCTTTATTGGAAGTGGGTAAAAATGATTTAATAAATTAATGTTGAACAATTAAAAGGCAAGCTAATCTAGTTCTACTAGTGCAGGGAAAATAAAATGGCTACTCTGTAATTTCCCAAGAAAGAAAATCCCAAAGAGGAGAGGGACAAAGGTTTTTGTTTTGGCAAGCAGTTGTGTGACTGCAGTGAAGAGAGGATAGGAGAAGTGATCCTGACTCCATTGAGAAAAACCCAGTAATAGATTTACCTTCTTAGAAGTTGTTGTTTGGCTGAGAGACTAGTTGTTTGTAATCACAAAAGAGAGGATATTCCAGAGAGCTTGATTGAGTATAAGATAGTGTTACCATTTTGGAAGTTGTGTTGGGCAGAACTTTGGAAATTGTTTGAAGACAAATGAATTCAATGCTACAAAGAAGCAGTGTATATAGAAAAAAGGTTAGCTTGCCAATCCATACTTGACTATTATAAAATCAGTGTTTAATTTTAGTATAAATAGTGTAAATAATAATAGTTTGTCTAAGTTGATCTGATTGTCAGTAACCCATACCTCAGATAAATAAATATATTAATACTCTTATCATTTTCTTTATTATTTAATAACCTCTTATTTATTTATAAAATACTCCAATGGTATAAAGTGGTCTGCCACGAGGTTATATTATTGTTATTTGTAAAATATAAGAGGGATGTTACAGTACTAGCATATTTAATATAAAATTAAAGATAAAGTATTTTTATAATGATGGGGATTACTATTCAGTGCCAAAGTAAATGGTAATAGTAAAGTGATTTATGAAATAATTGACTTACAAAATGTATTTATTAAGTGTGTGATGCAAAACTTAAAAATTCTTGATATTGTTTTTCGTTGGCTTGGCTCTTTACATGACAGTCGAATATTTAATTCAGGCTCATTACGAGCAAGATTTGAATCAGGATAATTAAAGAATTTCTGGCTACTTGGAGACATTGAATATAGCTGCAAATCTTATTTACTTATTCCCATTTGAAACCCCAGCAATGCAGCCGAAGAAAAATATAATGCTGCTTACATAAAAACAAGAAATACCTTTGAGAGAGTATTTGGTGTGATGAAAAGAAGATTCCCTTCCCTTGTCAATAATATAAGAATAAAACCTGAAAAATCGGTAACTGTTATTGTTGCTGTTGTGGTCTTGCACAATATTACAATAACCAGAAACTGAAGATGTCTAACTCGCACCAGAAGAAGATTTTAAAGATTCTGTTTTCCCTCCAGAAATTACAGCTGATAATGATATGTCTATCCGTAGAACATTAATTAATACCAATTTTTCAAATTGGCAAGGAATGTATCAATCTATTTTGACTTCCTTAAAAATATTTCTTGTTTTAGTTTAATTAAAGTTTTGAAGTGTATATGTCTTATGAATTTATATATGTACAAATATGCATACCTTATTTTTGGTTGGGTCGATGTGGTTCAACAACAATTCTTCTGTGATCTGATAGCGCAGTGCATCAACCAGGGTCCCATCACCAAATTTGGAAACTTCAGGAATGTTTTTTAAATCTAACAAAACAGCACAAATTTCATTTAGAGATTCATAGTGTATTTTCTGAAAAGTTCTGATACTTGGAAAATTAGAGAAAAGCTACTCACACCACCATTCATCATAGCTTCTGCAGATCCATCTGTATAAACATCTATCCAAGATGGGCTTGGGTAATCTATCTGTATGGTCATGGGGGCCAGTGCTTTGAGCATATTATTGCTTTTGTTAAAAGGATATAACTATATAATGTATTATAATATAGATTTATTTTTCCTTTTGACTTTACAAACCATGTAGATCTTGAACCTCTGCCTGTTTATCTTCCACTATTGCTTTGAAGGTAGATTGTTAATAAACACATTTTGTAAGTCAATTATTTCATAAAGCACTTCACTATTACCATTTACTGTGGCACTGAATATTAATCTCCACCATTATAGAAATACTTTATCATTAATTGTATATTAAGTATGTTAGTACATTATCAGTCAAAAAGGAAAAATGAAATTGCCTAAGGTGTATTCAAAACTTTTATTAAATATATAAGTATAATTTTTATGAAAATTTTTTTCTCCCTTCCATATAATCATATTTACTCCATTTCTCTAACATTTTCTGATCTTTACCGATCCTCAGAGACTATTTTAAAAGCTGTTAAAACAACATAACATTTGTTACAATTTTTTTATAATATATTAAAATATATTATTCTATATACTTATATTTTTGAGGAAGGAGATGGTCCGGGGTGGAGGTCATAAATAGACTAAAATAGAGGCAAAACTATTTCATTCTAAGCCAACCTTTCGACCTGACTTTGCAGGTCTTCTTCAGCAGTTCAGAAAGGAGTTTCACTTAAAACTGATTCAGTTATAAGATACAAACTCTTATTATAAGAAACAAACTCTTATAAGATACAAACCCTTGATAATTTATTTTTAATAGATACAAATAATCGTGATTATTAGAAAATTGGCCAATAAAATCTAGACCTAGAAATAAAACAAACCTATTGGATAGATGGGTCAGGCCTAGATGGGTTGACATTCATTTTATGGTAGACCTGCAGATTGAATCTTCAAATTCTCATTCTGGTTAGAATATGTTTGGTTGTACCGCCAAAACAACCTACCCTGTGTGCCATAAATGGCGAATTAGTGCACCAGTAAAGCTGTTCCAACCACTTTAGACCGAGAGATCGATTCTAGTTGCCTGTTGTTTTTTTGTGCTAGCACTTTTTTAATGGGCTACATAGTTTTTTATTTTTTAACTATTTAATGAATATGAGTGCTGTGAATGAGCTATGAGCTGTGAATTCGGCAGAGCAAGTAGATAATGCCGTCTTTGTGAGGGGGTAGAACAGAATGAGACCAGAGGAGACCCACGCGTTATTTATACGAGGCGAATAATAAATATGTAGTATATAATACCTAAATTATGGATACACAAAAATTATGGATGTAAATTCAACAGTTATATTAAACTTTGTTCTAAATAACTCTCTATGTGTCGTATGTATGATTTCATGTTCTGTAATATAAATCATCTTATTTATTTTAAAATTTTTGTTTCAAATACTGAATTAATATACTAGAAGTTTGATTAAATTAACATAGTTTTGGAACATTTTATGTTAATTATGATTAATTTTAAAATTTATAATATTTCAGATTTTTAGACGTAGTAGTTACACCTGAGGAAGAATTGAATATTTCAATGTGTCTTTATAGTGAAAATGAATCTGTTTTGGATGAAGCTAAAATTTATTTTTACAATAATTATTTTAAAGGAAAAGTTGGTGTTAACATAATTTCAGAAACATTTAAATTTTATAGAAAATGTCCTGTAAGTAAAATATCGTAAGGAATTATTTGTTAATAAGTGAAATAATTAATTTTAACGTATAATAATTGTTAACGCCGCATATACTTTATCTTTCTTTTTTTCCTTATTATTTTTTCTCACCAACTCACTCTTTTGAATGCACTAGCGGATCCAACTGGTGCTCCCCTCCCCTGATAGTTGGAAAAAAAATCCAAAAAAAGTCCCAAAAAACAGCTATTTAAAGAAAAGAGAAATATAGGAAAAATTCATGCTTATAGACAAATTTCCTAATGTAATATAAAAATAAAATCATTATCTTGACCAGCACTAGCGAACTCTACCAAGGGGGCGCCCTCCCTTTTATGGTGGAAATAAATTTCCAAAAAACACCTATTTAAAAAAAAGATAAATATAGAAAAAATTCATCCTCATTAACGAATTTTCTAAAATTATTTTTGTGATGAGCACTAGCGAATTCTGCCAGGAGACGTCCCTTCCTAATGGATAATGGATAAATAATTACAAAAAAGTTCATAAAAGCAGCTATTTAAAGAAAAGAGAAATATAGAGAGAATTCATCCTCATAGACAAATTTTCTAATTTAATATTAAAAAAATTATTATCATGACCATTTTTATTAATCTTACGGTTTTTCATATCTTGTCACCTCACTAGGCTGTGAATCAACTTGCGCCAGGCCTTTAACAGCGAGATTTTATGAAACAAAGAATAGAATGGTAGAGCAAAAGTTGGCTTGTAGGATGATGTGATTTAGTTTTTTGACCGCTATGAGCTGCGAAGGCTTGTCGCAGTTTGTTCCTACTGACTCCGAACTGACTCTTGCAGGTGAAGTACATGATGGAGGAAAATTAGTTAAAAAAAAAAAAAGAACTTTATTTAGCCTTTCTGACAACCGTTTATTCGTGCACAAGAAAATACAGTTTTTCTCCCGGACCCAGTTTTTATTCAGTTCCAATAGACCTGGACGCATTGCAACCTCCAGCAACTATAGTCTCCTTGAAGAATCCACATAATGTATAAAACTGGTCACAATAATAATTTGTATATTTCTCATTAGAAAGTGTTGTTCATTTCTTAAAATAGCTGCTATTGGGAACTTTTGCATGAAGGAAGGTACTAATAATTTAGTCTCCGATATGATCAGAATCAGAATTTATTGTGAGTTTTTTTTTCTTAGAGAACTCATTTCCAAGCTGCAGGGCAATTTATAGTAATCAGTCTCAGACTTTTGACAAAGTTGGTAAAAATTAGTGTTCATTGACTGTGGTTATCGACCATATCACTTAATCAAATTATTAAGTTAAGGTACTCGTTCGACGCACAATTTAATGTTCTTTAATTTCTTAAAGAATACGTCTTTCCCTTCGATACCCTGTTTAGTAGTAATATATGGAAAAAATATCAGATAAATCTGGTTTTTGGGTGTAAAATACTTTCTCTTGGTGACCCGTGTTAGCAATTTTGTTTTTTACATGTCTAAACCCATATACAGGATGTTCCCGTACGTTGAGGGAAATATTTAAAGAAATTCTAGAACTACAAAAAACTTTATATAAACAATGGTTCGATTTTCAACAGGAAAGTAGGAAATTAAAGTTTTGAGATTTTTAAAGTAAATCACGTTTTTTATTGAACAGGAAATGATAACTTAAAAACTATTTAATTTTAGTAATTAACGAAATAGTATATAGTTTGCTTTTGTTAAAACCATTAAAAGAGCACTTTAGAGTGGCTTAACTCAGCTAAGGAGGAGGGAGATGGGTATTGGTGGGGGAACGAGTAGGGGTGGAGGAAGCACCTGGTACAGAGATGTGCCCCCCCCCCTGAGAAAATTCCTGGATTCGCCTCTGTTTAAATGTTAATTTATTTTTTCTTTGTAAAAAAAGTAAGATATAATTGTTCCAGAAACCTATTCGATTATATATTATTTAAATATTAGGAATTGCCCGTGATGTGTTATCGCTTATGTATATGCATCAGCCCGGGCAGTAATACTGAGTCTTGAGGATTAAGACACTAAAATATTATGATAAGACTGCTGGGAAGTCAGTCAGGAGCGAACATTGATAGATGTAGGATCTGGATGTTTGGACATCAGATCCCCCTCCCCCTCCCCCAGTTGCTCTGGGCTCAACTCACCTTGCACCATTTTCTCACCACAGCTGGATATATCGGCAGTCATTGATCGAGATCGATATGCAGATCAATCCTCCCAACCTCAACTGCTTTTGACATCATCTGATACATCAAAGGTAACCTCGTTGAGAGTACTTACCACTTGGATCGTTTGCTTGTTCTCCACTGTCACCAAAAGACATTAGAATATTAATTTGAGTTTTTCCTCTAATTACTTTTTTTGAACTTTCAAACAACGCTAAATTAATTTTTCTCTTATTAATTATAATTTTGGAAGTTTATTTTTATTATTTATGTTTTTTTATGAACAATTTTTTTTTTTTATTAAATAATTCATTTAATATTTGGTTTTATTTCAGTTAATTTTTGTACTATTGTCTCATTTTGTTTTGGTTTTTAACTATATATATGTAATTCTAATAAATGAAGACTGTAGATGATTGCTAAAACATTAGTTTATTATTAATAAACATAAGTATTAATAAGCAGTAGTAGAGAAGAGAACAAAACTTACCTAAAACATTAGAATAGAAGTCTCTATCAACAGTTCTGATAGTTAAGTTATTAAACACCATATGATTTATAAACAGATGTTTTTCATTCTAACAGTGTAACCCTATATTATATTACCAAACTAAATTATGAATATAATTTATAATTTACACCTCCATTCTTCTTTCTACAGGAAAAGAGTATGTTATTAATTTAGAGCTATGGAAGAACACCTTCCTTATAAATGAATTTGAAGTTATGATCTGATGTAACAGTAAAAGCTTTATCTATGAGATAATGTTGCCAATAAATTTCTTTATTTAGTGCTAGGCATTCCAAATACATTATCTCTTTCTTCATTTGACCAGGTTTTAATTTCTTAGAAAAATAACCAACTGAATGTAAAATATCATCTGCTTGTGGTTGCTTCAGAACTGTACCTAAACCTGAATGGCTTGCATCAACTTCGATAACTATATCACTGTCATTGTCATAAATTGCTAAGGCTGGTGCTGAACATAGCATAGATATCTTTTTATCTTTTGAAAATAACATTTACATTCATCCTACCATTAAAATTTTTCATAGGTTATGTAATGGTTATAATCGCTCAGTACAATGATCTATGAATTTTCAGTAAAAGTTAATCTTCTCTAAAAGTTGGCGAACCTTTCTTCGTGTGGTGGGACAGTGAAATTCTCTGTCTTCCTTCAGTTTAATGTGAGCGTTGGTAACTCCAACTATAATCACATCAAACTTTTTAATGGCTAAACATCTACCATATTCACCTAAAAACTTCATCATGTCTCTCTTTTTATTCTCATCTAAATGCTCTGAATTCATTTCAAAGGAATTCTTATCATTTTTGTTCAATACTGATTTATTCTCTCTGATTTAAATCTTCAATGGGCCTTGGTCAATAGGCAGGTTGTGCACTTCGATTATGTTGTCTTTTGTTTTCTGTCCAATTCGTAGATTTTCATCTTGTATAAGTTTAAACTTCTTTATAGCATCTAATCCAAGAAATAAATCATGGTTGAATTTCTTGTTTTGAATAACAAATATATTCAGTGTATCTTCCACTAGTGTATCCACCAAAATGCAATTTTGATTTCAATAAACGAACAAGCTTTTCACTGACCAATAAACATGTCGAATCATTAGCATAAACAGCTGCCACTATTGTATTTCTATCCACCGTTACATTAACCTAGATCAATGTATACGGTGTGAGTTTTTCCAAGCGCTTTAATTTTTTTGAACTCCTTTCATTTTTCATTTCTATCCCCAAAAATTCAGTCTCAGGGATGTCATCCTGTTCCATCAAATTAACTGCATTTGTATTTTACATCAGTTTATTCCTGCATACTGACATTGGATGAAAATGATTTTTAAAAACAAGTCTCTCGCATATTGTGCATGGTTTTTTATCAAAATAATTTAGTTATTCTGGATTCTTCACTATATCACTCTTCTTTGTCTTTACAATTTGCTTTTCTTCTAATCTTTTTTGTGTCATATAAGAATCATTGAATTTTTTTAGTTTCTTTAAATGATCATCTATGGTTACAATCTTATCTCGATCAAACCTATCCTGAACATCTAGTTGTAAATTACACACTATTTGATATATTCTGTACATTTCGAGCATATTTTTGTCTGCTTCCAAAAGTAAACGTTCTTTCTTGTGTACAAAATCACTAAGTGAACCGAACATATACCCCATAAACCAATAAAAATAAAGTCTTCCAAACTTCCCAATCAGCTAACGGTAACTTAATTAAACTCGAACTGTACCATTCTTTTACAATACCATCTATAAACAATCTGATAGAACCATCGAGTATTTTAAATCTGGTACATTCTTTCTCAAAAGTGCTAATCCAATTTACAGCTTCTTGTTTTCCATCAAACTTACTCAACGAAAATGTTTGCTCTGTTTCAGTTAGAGTTACTTCATAGGTAGTTGAAATACAATCCTCTAACTCCTTAATACGTTTAATCACAAAAATTTTGTTGGCCGTTTTTGTTTCTCCTTAAGCCATATTGATGGTACTGGCTTCATCTACATTATATTCTTCTAGATAGTGATCACTTATTCTAAAGTTATCATCTTCATCTAAATATTTCTGTTGCGATTCTGGTCTAAATGCTATAGCATACATACATACATACATACGTAGTTGGCGCAACAATCCGTTAACGGGTCTAGACCTCCTCCAAAAGTCTCCGCCAGTTGGCCATGTCTGTAGCTGCAGCTCTCCAGTTCCTTGCGCCGAGGAGATTGTGTGCGTCCGCTGTGACCGAGTCAGCCCACCTCACATTTGGCCTTTTTTTTTTTTTTTGTCCTCCCCTTCCTCGCCTTTAAGGCT